GAAAAATCATCCACTGAGAACCCTGTGGAGCACAGTTCTACTCTGACACACACAAGGCACCATGAGTGGAATCTACTTATGAAAAATCATCCACTTAGAATACTGTGGGGCACAGGGTAAGTCTGAATCAACTCAGTGGCAACTTCTTTAGCTGTTTTAAGGGGAGTCGCTGTGAAAACACACCTTTTCTTACATAAACCCAAACCCCCTACATCAAATTAATTATGACTCAGAGTGGTAGCAATCCTTTCGGTTAGCACTACACCACTCCTTTTTCTCATATAAAGACCTATCAACACAAGACTTCCTTAAATGAATGGTTTGTTGTGTTGATAGGTTTAGTAAACAAGGCATGATTTCGGTATGATGTTGATGTTGTTATTAAGAGACCTCCAAATATATATTTTTAAAATATCTTTTCAATATTTGTTGTTAGGTGCTATTGAGTTGGTTCTGACTCATAGAGACCCTCTGCACAACAGAATGGAACACCACCACTCAGTCCTCTATCTTCCTCACAATCATTGTTACATTTGAACCCATTGCTGCTGCCACTGTGTTAATCCATCTCCTTAGAGATCTTCCTCTTATTTTGCTGATCCTCTAATTTATCAAGCATGATGTCCTTCTTCATCAACTGGTCCCTCCTGATAATATGTCTGAAGTATGAGAGATGCAGTTACACCATCCTGGCTTCTAGCTGTACTTCTTCCATGACAGACTTGTGTCTACACTTGGGTGTTGGGAAATGGGGCAAGATTCTAAACTGAGGTACAAACAATGAAGAATGGAAAAAAAAAAAAAAAACTCACAAAAAACCCCATGGCATTTGCTTTGTGGGTGTTCTCAGCAAGTATGTTTAACAGGTGCCCATAGGTGGAGATAAATTATTTAAGACTGATCTGAAATTTGCATTGGAGCAGTATAAATCGGAATCTAAAAGGCAGTCATTTGAAAGGAAAGATATGAGTCTATTTAGGATAAATAGAAACATCTCCTTTTGAAGGTAATATTCATTTACATTTTTATCATTTTTAAATGATTACCAAAGGAATAATGTAGAAATAAATCTTTGCAGGTTTAATTAGGAGGTATCAAAGGGCTTAATTGTAACTGGTCATAAATCTGAACTGTTATTTTCTAACTAATTTGGATAAGGTCACCAAGAAAATGAGTTTGGCTGTCTCCATTTGTCACAAGGACAGTGTTCAGAATCTTCACACGTTCCTCAGAGTCTCCGTTGATTTGTTCCTGAAGCTGGGGTGAAGATATTCTGTGAATGAATTGCAGTGTGTTCATCATTGTTTTCTGACCATCTCTTTCTATAATTAGTAATAACCTTGCACGGCTTCTGATGTTAGAGATGGAGGCCAAACAATATGCATGTTTATGTGTCTATGAGGGTATTACATATCAAAAGCTTGTCAGCACTTGGGAATGCTCAGGAAATCCAGCCGAGGACCAGAGGAGGATTGCTAAACTGTTGTGCAGGGTTGCCTTTCAAACCCTCCGCGGGAACGAAACAGAGGCCTTGGCAAGGACATGGTTACTGCGGGGAGATGAGTGATAATGAAGGCTTCCGATACCCGCACTTTCTAATGAGCAGGTAATAAATAGAAGACTGGTTAATTTAGTCTCCACAAGAGTAGAGCGAGATCAGTAACAACAGTTAAATCCAGTGTTCACTGCAGTAAACATGACATTAGAGGTGATGTGAAAGTGAGCCTGAGTTTTCTGCTTAAGTGGATCCACATCAGTATTTTCTCGAACCTGCTGTTGTTATGTGCCATCAAGTCAGTTCTGACTCATAGTGACCCTATGTACAATAGAATGAAACTCTGCCCAGTCATGCACCATCTCAAAGTTGTTGCCATGTTTGAGTCCATTTTTGTAACCACTCTGTAAATCCGTCTCCTTGGGGGTCTTCCTCTTTATTACTGACCCTCCACTTTACCACACATGATGTCCATCCTCCAGGGACTGGTCACGCCTGATAACATGTCCAAAGCACGTGAGATGAAATCTCATGATCCTTGATTCTAAGGCGCATTCTGGCTGCACTTCCTCCAACACAGATTTGTTTGTTCTTCTGGCAGTCCATGGTACTTTTCAATATTCTTTGCCAACACCATAATTTAAATACATTGATTCTTCTCTGGTCTTCCTTATTCGTTGTCCAACTTTCACATGCACATATTGTTGTTGTTGTAAGGTGCCCCTGAGTCGGTTCTGACTCTAAGAGACCCCCAAGGCACAACAAGAATGAAACAGTGCTCAGTCCTTTGCTATCCTCAAAATTGTTGTTACACTTGAGAACATCGCTTCTTCTCTGGTCTTCCTTATTGGCTGTCCAACTTTCACAGGCAAATGAGGCGACTGAAAACACCGTGGCTTAGGTCAGGCCCACCTCAGTCTTCAAACAGACATCTTTTTCTTTAACACTTTAAAGAGGTTTTGGGCAGCAGATTTGCCTGATGTAATAATATGTTGTTTGATTTCTTGACTGTTGTTTCCATTGGTGCGGATATGTTGTTGTGGTTGTTAGGTGCCATCCAGTTGGTTCTGACCCATAGTGACCCTATGTACAACAGAACAAAACACTGCCCAGTACTTTGCCATCCTCACAATGGGTGCTATGCTTGAGCCCATTGATGCTGCCACTGTGCCAATCCCTCTCACTGGGGGGTTCCTACACTGTAAGATAAACACTGGATCATTAGGTTGAACTGCAAGGTCGGCAGTTCAAACCCACCAGTCACTTTTTGGAAATCTTATGCAGGGTCACTATGAGTCTGAGCCAACCCAATGGCACTTAACAGCAATATCTGACCAAACGCCATGTCCTTCTCCAGGGACTGGGCCCTCTTGATAATATATCCAAAATAAGAGATGAAGTCTGGCCATTTTGGTCTCTAAGAAGCATTCTGGTTGTACTTCTTTTAATATAGATTTGTTTGTTTTTCTGGCATTCTATGGTATCGTTAAGATTCTTCTTCTTCAACACCATAGCCCAGCTGCATCAATTCTTCTACAGTCTTCCTTATTCACTGTCCAACTTTAACATGTGTACGAGGTGATCGAAAATAGCATGGCTTGACTCAGGTGCACTTTAGTCCTCAAATTAACATCTTTGCTCTTGAACACTTTAAAAAGGTCTTGTGTAGCACATTTGCCTAATGAAGGATGTCATTTGATTTCTTGACTGCTGCTTCCAACAAGTGTTGATGGTGGATCTAAGCAAAAGGAGGTCTTTGACAACTTCAATCGTCTCTCCATTTATCATGATGTATTTATTGGTCCAATGGTGAGGATTTCTGTTTTCTTTACATTGAGGTACCACCCATACTGAAGGCTGTGGTCTTTGATCTCCATCAGTAAGTATTTTAAGTCCTCTTCACTTTTAACAAGGCTGTATCATCTGCCTATCAGGCTATTAATGAGTCTTCCTCCAATCCTGATGCCACATTCGTCTTCATATAATACAGCTTCTCAGATCATATGTTCATTTTACAGATTGAATAAGTATGGTGAAAGAATACAACCTTGGTGCACACCTTTCCTGATTTTAAACCATTCAGTGTCCCCTTACTCTGTCTGAACAACTGCCTCTAGGTCTGGTCTAAGTTCAAGTTCCTTATGAGCACAATTAAGTGTTCCGGAATATTCATTCTCCACAATGTTTTCCATAGTTTGTCATGTTCCACATAGTTGAAAGCCTTTGCATGTTCAATAACGCACAGACAAAACATCCTTCTGATATTCTCTGCTTTTAGCCAAGATTGATTCATCTGATGTCAGCAATGATTATCTCTCACTGTTAATGAGTCATCCTCCAATCTTGATGCCACATTCTTCACAGCACCTCAGACTATTTGTTCAGCATATAATTTCGGGGGAGTGGGGGGCAAGGAGAGGCAGAGAGTGAAGGGATACCACCCTGATGCATGTGTTTCCTGATTTTAAACCATTCAGTGTTCCCTTGCTCTGTTTGAAAGACTGCCTCGTGGTCTATGTACAGGTTCCTAATGAGCACAGGTAAGTGTTATGGAATCCCCAGCTGCCCAATGTTGTCCTGAATTGTTCTTGATTCACACAGTTGAATGCCTTTTTAGTGCCCTGGGTTAATGCACCAGACTGCAATGCCATTTGAACTG